AAGCAGGCAAATTTGCCTGCTTATTTGGATGGTTTAAGGGATAATAAAAAAATCTATTTTTAATTAACCAATTAAATTTAAAAAAATATTTTTTTTAAAATTAAAGAAGTTTTTATTAAGTTAGGGTTAGTTGGGCTTTTAATTAAAGTTGTAAAGAAAGTTTTTACGGTTCTAATAGTGTTTAGATCATCCAAATCAGTCTAGTAAATCTCAAGATATTTTGGATCAAAGACGTGAAGATAGTGATCTACAAATTACCAGTTATACAAAGTATTATAAACTATAATACTATCTTTGAGTCTTTGATTCCAAATATTTTGGGATTCCAAGAAAAGTTAGCTTATTAAAAACTTCTTTAATTAACTAATTAAATTTAAAAAAAATAATGTTTTAAAATTTAAAGAAGTTTTTAATAAGCTAATCTCTCTTGGGCTTCTAATTAAAATTATAGAGAAGGTTTTTATAGTTCTAATAGTATTTAGATCATCCAAATTGGCCTAGTAGATCTTATTATAGTCTATAATACTTTGTGTAACTAGCAATTTGTAGATCACTATCTTTATATCTTTGATCTCAAATATCTTGGGATCTACTAAACCGATTTGAATGATCTAAACACCATTAGGACCATAAAACTCTTCTTTATAACTTTAATTAGAAGCCCAAGAGAGGTTAGCTTATTAAAAACTTTTTTTATATGGGCAGATTTGTTTCAATTTGATTATATCACCTAAGTTAGAAATGTGATATCTGGGAATTTGTGATATCTAAAAATGATTGACCAATAAAATTTTTTGCTTACAAGAATCACAAAAATTAGCATTAGTACGGTATTTCAATGGCTAGTAAATGTCAACTTTGTCAAGCAATTTTTCCTTCTCGAAAAGAGCTTGTAGCTCATGAAAGAATTAAACATAGAAATAACAAAACTATACCTCATTGCAAGCTACTTATTCAACCTCCCCTTGAGCAAGTTGTGTTTTATCAAGATACGTTTATAGTTCTTATTAAAAAATATCTTGGTTTTAATAAGCATTCAATAGGTGCAAAACAAGTTTCTATTAATGCTTCTCCAGAAAATATCTTTGTTTATCTCTTTGAGAATGAATCTTCTTTCTGCTATAGTTCTGTGCAACAAAAATATTCTTGTTTTTTTTAGGGTGAAGATGGTGAACTACAATTAAAGCAATTAGTTAATTATGACCATTGGAACGTTCTACAAGATCCAAAGTGAAAACTATTAGTTACGTTTTGTTTAAAGATTATGATAGTTTCTACATAGTCAACTTCAGTTAGTCACAATCAAAGTTTAAAGAGAACAATCGTACTTTTCAATGCGATACTACTACTTGTAAATTTATAACAGATTCAGGTGAATTTTTTGAATAGTAAGAATTAGAATAAGTTTTGCTTTAACAAAGTGATTCTTTTGAAACAATAATTTATATAGTTCTAAAGAGTTATTTTGTTAATAAAAATTTTACTAATACAATATTATTTTTTTATTTTTTATTCTAAATACTGTATATTACTAACTATCTATTTATTTATTTTATTAGACCTGCTGCCATGTCTCAAGCTAACCAGATTACTTCGCAAGTACCAGGTTATCAGATTGATACAAACAAGAGTTTTTCAGCTGAGAAATCAGCACAAAAAAATTATCGATTTATATTACCTCGAGCACCCTTTTAGCAACTTAATAGATAGATTTTTTTTTTTTATAATTAGAAATATCGAAATATCATGTATAAGCGATTTATATCAAGTAGTAAATTTAGTTGGATTTTTTTTTTTTAATAGAGATGTAGTACATAAGTGATTATATCATATAATAGATTTAGATCATGCTTTAAATATTGTACTACTTTTTAATGAAGGTTTTTAATTAGTATCATTTACATAGATGTGAAATACTTGCTCTGGATTTCTGAGAAAAAATTGATTGCCTGCCAGCTATAATTTTGTCTTTGTACTATTTGAAAAGCAAAAGTCAACAATAGTATGTAGCAATAATTAAAGTAACTATTAATATATTGATAATAGCAGTTAATATATTTTAATTGTAAGAAGTTTTTTAAAGTAATAAAAAAAGGTGGCTACTGATCCTCAGAAAATAACTCATGGATGGACAAGTGGAAATAATGATGTTGATGATTGCATAAAAGAATTTTAACTTAAAAACAACAAAATATAAAAATACAATCTAATAGATTCTCTTTGATAGAATAGTTGACATTAAACAAACCGATGATAAATTTTTAGCAACCTAGTTAGATGATATTCATCATAATACCCATTTTTATGAAATCAGTAATTTTATTATTGATTCAAATTTATCAGAAATAAAATATTATA